TAAATGTTCTGGGATTCCCATTCTTCTCAGAGTCAGCCACAGTTTGTTATGACCCACACAGTCGAATGCCTTTGCATAGAAAGGGAAATTGTCAAGTTTATTTGGAGAGGCACAAAGCCCCAAATAAGCAAAAGTGGGAAGCATAGCACACCTGACTTCAAAACCTACTACACAGCGGTAGTAACCAAACCAGTGTGGTACTGGTACGACAACAGGCACATAGACCAATAGAAAAGAATTGAGAACCCAGAAATGGACCCTGCTATGGTCAACTGTTATTTGACAAGGAAATATAACCTATCAATTGTGGAAATGACAACCTCTGTAACAAATAGAGCTTGCAAAATTGGGCTATTTACTACCTGTGGAAAGCTGAAACAGATCCACATCTCAAAAGACAAAAATCAACTCAAGGTGTATCAGAGACCTGGTAGTAAAGCCCAAAACCATAAAGTTCATCAGAGACAAACTGGAATCAAGCTTAGACGGTCTAGTCTATGATATAAAGACACTGCCAAATATACAGCCAGAAATGCACATTCTGGACAGGATAAAATTGATGAATGGGACTTTCTAAAGATTAAATCTGTGCACATCAAAAACTTACCATTTCAGACAAGGGTCTCATATCAAAAGTCTACAGAATCCTACAGGACCACAAGAAAATGACCACACAATTACAAAATGAGCAAAAGACTTTTTACAGAGAAAGATATTAGGATGGCCAACAGACACATGAAGAAATGCACAAAATCACTGGTAAGAGAGATGCAAATCAAGCGGTTTTCCTTGTTCTGTCTCTTTCTCTAGACCAAGGAATCCCACCCTGAGTCTCCCTTAATAAAGCTGCTTTAGCTCTCAAAAAAAATCAATTTAAAAAAGAGAGATGCAAATCAAAACCACAATTAGATACATCTCACTCCAGTAGCAATGGCAAAGTTTAACAGTTTAATGTTGGAGAAGATGTGGAGAGATAGGAACTCCTATACACTGTTGATGAGATTGTAAAATGGTACAACCACTTTGGAAGGCAGTTTGGCATTTCCTTAAAAAGATGATCATAGAAATTTCATATGACCCAGCTATTCCACTGCTTGGAATATATCCCGAGAAAATGAGAGCTGAGGCTCAAATGGAGACTTACACACCAATGTTGATAGCAGTGTTATTCATCATTGCAAAAACATGGAAACAGCCCAAATGCCCAACCACAATAGAATGGACTGAGAAATTATGGTACATTCACAGGGTGGAATACTACACAGCACACAGGAGCAATGATTTTGTAAATTACTACCTAGCTTGGGAGGGACTGGAGAGCATTATGCTAAGTGAACAAACTCAGTCCTATAAGAACAAATCCTGTATAAGACCATTATTGTAGAAATAGATAACTAGTAAAATGTGTATGGGCATCTAAGAAGGAGCAGAGCACAGGGGTGAGGATCAGTGTGGAACATAATCATAGGGTCACACAATTTGATGGGTGGAGGGAGGGATGGGTTAAGGAAACAGGGAAGATCTTGAGTGAAAAACGTTGTTGTTGTTATGTGCCATCGAGTCGCTTGCGACTCATAGCGACCCTATGTACAAGAGCTCTAAATGCTGTTCTATCCTGTGCCAACCTAGCAATCTCAAATGCACTTATTCCCACCGCTCCAGTCACAGAATCGATCCATCTCACCAAAGGTCTTCCTCTCCTCTTCCCCCCACTTTGCCAAACATGATGTCCCTCTCCAAGGACCAGTCCCTCCTTGCAACATGCCCAAAATATGTCAGACGAAGCTTCAGAATCCTTGACTCCAGGGAACACTCTGGCTTCACCCTCTCCAAGACAAACCTGTTTGTTCTCCTAGCAGTTCATGATATGTTCAACACTCTTCTCCAGCACCACAGCTCAAAGGCATCAATCCTCTTTCTATCAGCCCTATTCACTGTCCAACTCTCTGATGCATAGCACATAATTGTGAAGACTATAGCCCAGATCAGGCACACCTTAGTCTCCAGCCTGACATCGTTGCTCTTCAGTACTCTTGAGAGGTCCCTCACAGCCGACTTTCCCAATGCAATTCGTCTCCTGATTTCCTGGCTGCTGTTACCAAGAGTGTTGACTGTGGGGCCAAGTAAATTAAAACTGTTAACTATCTCAATCTCCTCACCATCCATGCTGATGCTACCAATTGGTCCAGTGGTTAGAATCTTTGTTTTCTTGACATTTAGCTTCAGTCCATATAGGAGGCTGTAGTCCTTGATCTTCTGCAGCAAGCGCCTCAGGTCCTCCTCAGTTTCAGCAAGCAGGGTTGTGTCATCTGCATAACACAGGTTGTTGATGATTCTTCCACCAATCCTGATGCCACATTGCTCTTCGTATAGCCCTGTGTCTAGGATGATCTGTTCTGCATACAGATTGAAAAGGTATGGAGACAGAATATGGACCCCCTTCTTGATTTTGAACCATGTAGTGTCTCCTTGCTCTGTTCTGACAACTGCCTCTTGGTCCAAGTATAGGTTTCGCATTAGCACAATCAAATGTTCTGGGATTCCCATTCTTTTCAGAGTCAGCCACAGCTTATTGTGATCCACACAGTCAAAAGCCTTTGCATAGTCAATGAAGCACCGATAGACATTCTTCTGGTATTCTTTGCTTTCTGCTAAGATCCATCTAACATTAGCTATAATATCCCTAGTACCATGACCTCTTCTAAATCCAGCCTGCACATCTGGTAGTTCTCTGTTGACATATTGTTCCAAATGTTTTTGGATAATTTTCAGCAGAATCTTGCTTGTATGTGATATCAGTGATATTGTTCGATAATTTTCACACTCTGTTGGGTCACCTTTCTTTGGAATGGAAACAAATATCGATCTTTTCCAGTCAGTGGGCCAGCTGGCTGTTCTCCAGATTTCTTGGCACAACTTAGTGAGCACATCCAGGCCAGTGTCTGTTTGTTGAAATATGTCAATTGGTATGCAGTCAACTCTTGGAGCCTTGTTTTTTGCCAATTCCTTCAGAACAATTTGAACTTCCCCTTTCATCACCATAGGCTCTTGCTCATATGTCATTTCATGAAATTCTTCTGTGTCAGCCAATTCCTTCTGATACCGTGACTCTGTGTATTCCTTCCATCTTCTCTTGATACTTTCTGGATCATTTAATATACTGCCCAAAGTATCCTTAAGTATTGCCATCCGTGAAAAACATTGTAAAGGAAAAAAAATTGTAAATGAAATTTGTAAGTAAACGAGAATAAAATTAAAAAGGTTTTTTTAAATAAAATAGACCACTGATCCACATATTACAAGGTTAGAAGTATTACTTTGTTTCAGGTCTTTGAATGAATTATTGTATTCCATTCCTTTGAAAATATTTATTGGGCATCTATTATTTGCTAAGGAGACCCTGAAGATGATTAGCATGCTCCGCTGCAACCTAAAGGTTGGAGGTTTAAACCCATCCAGCGACGCCTCAGAAGAAAGAGCCAGTGATCATCTGAAAAGTCAGCCACTGAAAATGCCATGGATCACGGTTCTCCTCTGACAGACGCGGAGTTGGTTGACTTCCTGGTTACCGGCTGTGGTGTGGCTGTTTGTTTTATATACAGCACACATAGAGATCCGAATGGAAAGCAGCCTGGAATTTGTATTTGCATGCCTTAGGGTAATATATTTCATTATCCAGAATATTTGTTTATATAAAATGCTTCACTCCAGTGACCACTCCACGTGGTCCTCTGAACGCTCTGTGTGCGCCTGTGCGCATGTGCATGTAGCGAACCATCTTCAGCACAGCCTTCTGGGGCAGAAACTACTCATAAGGCCCTTTACCATAGACCCCAGCCACTCCATCTCCTAATGAGGTCAGGTGAGCGGAGGTCAGATGGAAGGCAGGATCAGGGGATAGTTCTCAGCTCTCAACTTACCTTTGTTTTCTGGTTTCTTTCTCAGCAAACATTCCCTTCATGGAGTAAAAACTCTTTCTGGAAAACAAGAAGAGTGCAAAGAATTACCTTATGTGAGTAGCCCTGGGGAGAAGGGGCTGGACTGACATTCATTGAGCACTTGTGTGCAGGCATGAGCCTTTACACACGCTTACTTTCATAAATGAACTTTCATAATGATCCCATGAAGAGGGGTTGCTATTATTGCATGATATATACGGCTGATAAATAGCAAAACTTGAATTCAGATAAACTAGATCCATAGCCAGCATCTAAACACCACTCAGTTCCTCCTGGTGTAAAGCAAGAAGAGTGTCTTAGGGAGACCAGCTGATGGCAGTTAATTGAAGCCAGTGTGTACCACATGCTCAGAGCAGGCCACCTGTGACTATCCTTAGAGTGCACAAAGAAAGGGTACCTTTATTCTATGAGGACACTGATGCACAGAGATGAGGCAGGGGTAGGATTCAAACTCAGGGCTATTTAGTTCCTACACCTATGTGGCTTCCATAATACCTGGCTGCCTCCTGGCCTCCAGCCATGATGAAGCACTCAGAAGAGAGTGTGGGACTGAAGGGGAGAACACTGGAGATTCCATTTGCACATTTTTAGCTTGAAGGCATGTAGAACAGCTGAGTGTACATCCAGGAGCCAGTTGAATATTGGGATTAGATCTCAGAATAACAATCTGTGCTGAAGATGAGCAGGAACGGGAGGGGGCAGGGACATGGAAGGGGATGTGGGCCTGATCTCATGCCTCTATTTCTATGATGTGAAGAAGGCAGTTATAGAAGATCTGGAGGCATCTGGGCTCTTAAAGCTGCATTCTCACCTTATCTTTCACTTTGATGCCTAGGAAGAGATAGACGTGTCACCAGGTTACCACCTCTTTCGAAATAAAGAGCAGATTTCTGTCACGTTGGGGGATGAGATGTTTGACAGAAAAAAGACTTTAGAATCAGCAACCAAAGGAAAAGTAGATACTTCCAGGTAATGTCTTCAGAGCATCATCCAGCTCTAAATGGTGTTCCCAACTGACTCGACCTGGCCTCTCAGACAACCCCCTGACACGTCCCTGCGCAAATTTTTCAGTTTTGCTCTAAAGATGGTACAGGCTTACAGCATACTTCCCCCTGTTTCCTGGTGCCTGCTTGCTTCCTCTCATACTTTGGTTCCTCTCTCTGCTTTGGTTCCATTAGTCAGCAGATCAAAGGGTTAAATGAAGATCAAATCAGGCAATGACTTGGAAAATGGTTGGTTGTAGTGTCCTTCATACTTCTTGAGAGCTATTTTCCCTGGGAGTAAGAAACAGATAAGATATTCATTGAAAAGTCTGCTGTGAGACTTCCAAATACATCTCTTTTAAAAACCATGAAAATACCATTCAACTGATGCCTCTGAGAGATGCTCTGAAGGTTCCAGCCTGACTCCATCAAGGCTAAACACAATGCCAGCCTCTCTGTCATGCAATCTCACCCACTTGTTAGTCCTCCAGCATCATATCAAATGAGTCATTGTGCCTTTTAATCCCACTTCTTAAATGCCTCATTTGTACCTCCTACCCTTCTATCCTCAGTTTAACTCAAACTCGACTCACTGCTGCCAATTCAGAATCTCCTCACAGCTGACCCTCCATTGGGTTCCCCTGGCTGTAACTCGCATGAGAGGAATTCCCCGTCTTTCTTCCATGGAGTCGCTGGTGGATTTGAACCACCAGAGTAGTGCAGCTTTCGGGTTAGTAGTGAAATTCCTGATGCTTATGCCACCATCTCTTGTTCTCACCTGTACTACATATTGCAGTGGCTTCCCTACCAGCATCTTATTCCTCACGTTTGCTTGTCATGAGCATGTACCTTTCCAAGACAGAAATCGAAACCACAACCACCAGAAAATATAAACACACACAGAAGTCTTTAAGTATTTGTTACCTATTAGTATGTATGGAGCTCCTTGGAGATGCAACAGTTTATGTGCTTGGCTACTAACTGACAGACCAGAGGCTCCAATCCTCTCAGAAGTGCCAGCACCATGTGATGGACCAGCACCATCATTCTGAGGGCCCAGGTTGCATGAAATACCACGCTCTGGGGGTGAGAGAATTGCTTCTCCCATAGGACTAAGGACTCTGTCCTTGAAGAACAGATCTCAGAACTAACAGCGATAATAGAACAGATGAACAGAGACCACAAGTCTGCCCAAACACTGGTGAGTGACTTTTGGGTTAGTGGGCAACTTTCTAGGTCGTTGTTGTTGTTGTTAGGTGCCATTGAGTCGAATGTGTCTCATGGCTACCCTATGACCAACTAATCCGAACCCTTTCCTGTCCTGTGCCATCCTCACAATTTCTGACACACTCAAGCCCCCCTGCTGCAGTTACTGTGGCAATCACATGATTGAAGGTCTTCCTCGCTTTACTGATCCTCCACTTCCCAAGCATCATTCCCTCTCCAAGGAAATAGCCTTGCCTGGCAACACGACCAAAGTTGGTGAGACAAAGCTCTATCATCTTTGCCTCCAGACAACTCTGGCTGCACCTTCTCCAAGACGTTTCTGTTTTTTGACAGTGCAGAGCATAGTCAGTACTCTTCCCCAACACCACAGCTCAAGGGAATCAGTTCTTCTTTCATCCTTATTCAACATCCAGCTTTCAGATCTCACAGAGGAGAGCTAATATTTTCCAAACCTGCTATATGCCAGCACAATATCAAGCAGTTTACTCATGTAAGCCTCATTGCCTAGGTGGTAGCCATCTGAAGATCAGATTGTGGTCACCCAACAGTCCTGTGGCTCCTTCCCCACGTATAACTGCGAGAGTTCAAGTCTTGCTCAAGTTCTAAAGCAATTATTTCTGAAAGTTGTCCAGATACTGCCTTTACTGCATGTTCAGTGGCACTGTCACCACATGAGGGGTGCCTGCCATCTCCCATCTGGCCCTATTATGGTTTTTGTGGTGAGTTAATTGTAGAAGTTGCTGAACCTGTCACTAATGGCACCGACACAGTCAGTGCTTCCTGGAGGCACCAGTCCCCACTTCCTGTTGCTGTTGAAACTAGGCTCAAAAACATCCTCCAGCCACACACACGGCCCTCTTGTTATAGAAAACTGCTTGTGAGCAGCTGCTTCCCAGTTCTTAGACAGACACTCCTCCAACAAGCCCAGCCTCTGACAGGCTTCAGACATGTCTGAATACTACTGACTCATTAGCCTCTTTATACTAAAATCCTGCAGAGTTTACTATGATTCCTATTAATAGACATAATAATAGATGAAGGGAGCCCCAGTGGCTTAGTGGTAAGGAATTACACTTTGCAATTGCAAAGGTGTGTGGTTTAATTTCTGCCCATGGTAGAAAGGTGGACAATCAACTCCACATGGTAGAAAGGTGGACAATCAACTCCAGTGTGATTTAGTCCCTCTGAAAACTCACTGGAGGGTCGGCTATCTGATGGTTCCAACTCTATGGTGCACAACAGAAGCAACAACAATTAATAGACAAGAAGCCTGAGGCTCAGAGATGTGAAATAATTTGTATATAATCACTTCAGCTCTTTAACTGTAGACCGGTGAGCAAGATAAACCTTTTGGCCCAGTAAGCCCAGTGTGTGCTACAGACATATTAGAGACTATTTCCATGCAGAGACCTTACATTGGAAACAGCATTTAATAAGAACACCATTTTGTTCACCAAAAAAAAAAAAGGAGGCGTGCTGGCTACCCTGATGGTGCTTCCTGTCCGAGCTGCTGGGGTGACTGACCACGTGTGCGTGCCAGATAATCTCAGTCTCTATAGTCCAACTCCTTCCCCGGATGAAGGAGGAGGCCCAAGGACAAACCCTGAGCCCTTGCTTTAGCTAATTGTCACCACTTCTTAGTTTTGAAGTGTCCATTCTTCCTAGAGCACTGGCCAGAAGTTTCTGTTATGTTAGATTGTTGGGTCACCAGAGACTGAGCCAATCCTGCTTGCAAGAACATGGCCATTCTGTCAACAAGAACTTAATAACACTGACCTTTAAGTTCATTCAAAGTAGGTTCGGAGTCTTAGGCCGTAGTTTTTTGTTTTTCATTTTTATTTTATATTGGTTTGCATACAAAATTTATATACATTGTGTTTCACACTTTTCTTCATTCACATTGTAGTTCATATAGTCATCTCCTACATTGTGTTTTATAGGATGAATCACCATTGAACAATATCCACTCTTACCCCATTTTTTCAATGCCCACCAGATCTTTCCCATTTCCTATACCTCCTCCCTCTACCCACAAAATTGTGGAACTCTGTGATTTTCCCCCTGCCCATCCTCACCCCTCTGCTCCCACCCCTTCCCCCCCTTGGACCACCATGTACATTTTACTAGTTACCTTTCTATTTTCACAATTATGGTCTTATGCAGTATTTGTCCTTATGAGACTGAGTTAGTTCATTCAGCGTAATGCTCTCCAGTCTCTCCCAAGTTATGTAGTATTTTTCAAAATCATTGTTCCTGAGTGTTACACAGTATTCCACTGTGTGAGTTTACCACAACTTCTCAATCCATTCAATTATGGTTGGACATTTGGGCTATTTCCCTGTTTTTGCAATTGTGAATAACACTGCTATGAACATTGATGTACAAATCTCCATTTGTGTCTCAGTTCTATTTTCCTTGGGGTCTATTCCTGCCAGTGGAATAGCTGGGTCATGCAGAGTTTCTATATTCAGCTTTTTGAGGAAATGCCAAACTACCTTCCAGAGTGCTTGTGCCATTTTATAATCCTCCCCAACAGTGTATGAGAGTTCCTATCTCTCCACATCCTCTCCATTTATTGTTTGTTCTCCTGTTAACTTTGTAAAGGTCATAGTTTTGTGAAGAGATTACAATCAGACTAACAAAGAGACCAGACTTGCCAACAAGCCCATCTATAGGAAAAGATTGTTTCTGCCTACCAAGCATTATGACCCGATTAAGTGCCTAAGAGCATAGAACAATGCAAGCATTGTTCCTTTGCCTCAGGAGTGATGGGCCCTGTGAGCACTGCAGAGCATAAAGGGAGAAGTTGGGGAGCAGAGTGTATTCTGCTCAGAAGACGTGGGTTGGAGCGGAAGTCTTCACCTCCGTGTTGTTAATGTGAGATCTCCTCTCCAGCTCTCCAGTAAAATGGAAATGCAGTGTACAAAGATGCAGCAAAAGTTTGAAGACAAGAACAGGTATGTTTTCTGATGTGTTAAAGGCCTGAGGCCCCCACATCATTTGTGGGACTGCAGTTCACTGGAATTCCGCATGGAGCAAAACGGGATCTGGAGGGGGGACATGGAGAGCAGGATGGTTTTCTTTAAGGCCACAGAAGAATAGCACAAAGGTGATTTCCGTTTTTATGGTTTCTCATCCAATTAGTTTATTGTTATTTTTATTGTTGTTAGTTGCTAAGAAGATTGATTTTTGTTGTTGTTGTTGTTGTTGCTATTGTTCTCTATGAACATTTTGCAGGGAGCTCTGGTGGCCTAGTGGTAAGGAATTGTGCTGTAAACACAAAGGTGTCATGTTCAAATCCACCAGTTGTTGTGCAGGGGGAAAGAGGTGGGCAATCTCCTCTCGTGTGTTTTACCACCTCTGAAAACCCATCGCAGGGTCAGCTGTGAGTTGGTTCCACCTCAGTGACATGTAACAGTATGAATTTTTTTGTGGAAGGCAGCTGCCATTTTCTGCCACGTCACCCCACACATTCTCCTCTTCTCAACTCTACTTTTCCTGGTTGTCAGTTCAGACCTGGGCCAAAGTTGAAGTTATAGGAGGACAACAGCCTGAACAGCAAAGACAAAACAAGGGGGGAAAAAATGAAAGGGGTTGTGTGTGTGGGTCAGGAGAATCTCCACTTCCTCTCCCAGCTTGCAGTGCTGGAGAGCAGTGCAGTCTCAGAAATGCTGGTGGAGGGAAGGAGCCACAGCTGTTCATTTTAACAATCTTCTGGAACTCCACCAGCGTTTACCTCTCTGCTTCTGGAATTGAGGCTGGCTGCACCCTGGGCTCTGAAGTTATCCTTAGAGCAAAAACTGTCCACAGATTCCCTAGTTAGCTGTCAGCGAAGGCCAGGCTGCCTGGTAGGGAGTGGAGTTAGAGCCCCCACCAACTGTATTCAAAACATACTTTGGATCCTTTAGCACACAGTGAGGGGATTTAAGGAGTGTGTTCCTGGATGTGAGGCTGCCTGCAGTCTTCTGTGTGAAGAAAGAGCAGGTAGGAGGATCAGTGAACTTCTCTTCACTGATGTCTTTGCCCTTCTTGGGGCTTCCATAGGGAACTGGAAGAGGCTCATGCAGCAGAGCTCAAGGAATTGGAAAAAAATTATAAAGAAGCCTTGAAGTCAGAGAGATTGGCTGCTCAGGCAAAGCTGGGTATGTTGTGGGGGGAATGGGGAACACAGCTAGGTGAAAGGCCATCTCTGAGGGTCTAGGACTGGGGCCTCCCACAGGGTGGCCGTCAAGGGAGGATGGACCAAGTTTAAGGTCAGGGACGAGCAGACAAACTGAAAGAGGAGAAAGCTGCTCTAGCAGTGTTCTTACTATGCCTGGGAGATGGGCAAGCCTGGCTCGACTTTTGTGATCTGTTTGAGCAAGTACCTTAAACTCATTGAGTCTCAGTTTTCTCCATCTGGAAATTGAGGACATTAGTAAGAAGGGTGTGAAGTCATTTTTAGTAGTGTATTTTCAAGTTCTACAAATGTAAGGCAGCCAGTCCTTGGGAACAGATGTCATGTTAGGAAAGGTAGAGGGTCAAAGAAAGAGAGCAAGTCCCTCGGTGAGAGAAATAGACAGTGTCTGTAACAGTGGGCTTGAGCATGTCAGAGATAGCACAAGATTCTAATCATGGGGTCATGATGAGTTGTATAGTCAGTGAACAGCACTTTACAACTTTACAACAACTTAAAATCCAACAAGTATCCTCATGCAAAATGATATGCCATTAAATTTCATTTGACCCACAATGGCCATTATCTCAATGTTTTTGCTGCCTCTGTGAAGAGCATAGTACATATCCTGTAATCAGGATTTTAGATTGACCTAGGAGGAGTCTATAAGCTACTTCCTTGATTTTTTCTTAAATTTTTCAAAGATAAGATCTTATTTATATTTTGCTAACTTTGTAAAGAGAACATGTGGGATTTTTGTAATAATTAGCGTAAACTTGACAATCTTCTTTTAAAAAGCGATGTACAGACACAGCTACAAAATTTTGCTCTCCTTGTTCTCGCAGATGTAGGCTTATCCCTGGGGATTGATCTTCAAGTGTCAGAATGGCTGTGAAGTATGTTATCAACAAAAGCAGGACCTTCCCCTTAGACTTCAATCCAGTAGTGAATTTGGGGTGGAGATAGGACATCTGCATTTCTATTATGCTTTCTGAGTGATTTTCTGAGGCACATCAAGGTTTTCTCTGCTAGGAGACTCGTTTGAAGTAAAGAAAGTATGCAGGAAACTCCCACTTGAATTTGAAAGCGTGCAGATCAGAGGAATACTGATGATCTTGGTTTTGTTGTTTTCTTTTTGTCCAGATGAAAAGGAGAAGGAATATAGATTTTTGAAGAATATGTTTCATATGTATCAGGTAAGAGAGAGTACTCTCTGCTGTTCTAGGGCAGTCAGAGACACATCATCTGACCTTGGCGTGAACCCTCAACTCTTTCTTGCCCAGGAAATTCTTTCTCTGGATCCCCAGCTTTCTTGCACCTAACTGCTGCTAGCTGTACTGGGTAGGAAATTAGTCACCCATGTCCTAAGGAGAATTTTTTTTTATTATTATCTTGTGTGCGTGTACCCGTCAAATCAGATCTGACTGGTACAGGAGGATATTGCGCCTCCTTCTCCGGCAGAGCGTCTGGTGGATTCGAACCGTGTTCCTCTGGGATTGCAGTGCAGTTTCTTGCCACTAGGCCACCAGAGCTCCCCCTAAGGAGAATTTTTGAAATATATTTTTTAAATTATTGCAATAATACTAATACTAATACTAATACTGATACTAATACTAATACTACCTACTTATGTTTTCTTTCAATGCCTCTTGTTGTTGCTCTCTAAACCGTTGTTGTCAGGTGCTGTTGAGTCAAGCATGACTCCTAGTGAGCCCATGAGTGAACTCCTAGTGAGCAGCTCTGTGTCTTGCCCGCCCTGCATCCTCATAACCTCTGACGTGCTCCACCCCATCACTACAGTTGCCATGTCAACCCTTCTTGCTGAGGCTCTTCTTTTTCTTTCCTTTTCTACCATTCCCACTGTGTTGTCTTTGTCCAAGGACTGGCTGTTCTGTCAACTACTCCCAAAGTCTGTGAGATGGCATTTCACTATTAAAAAAATCACCAAGAATACGCAAAAGCCACCACTGATCAAATTCTTACTTCTAGAAAACTGTTGCTGACATGACATCATATTCCACAGATCCTAGGTGTGCTTTTACAGACCTTTTTTAATCGGGTGTGTAAAAATGGCCCCTACTTTTTAATGACTAAGTATTCTTTTCTCCTTTATGAAAAAATAGGGCAAGAGAGTACAACTATGTGTGCCTTGTTGGCATGGCTGTTAACTGACAGATCAATAATTGGCATCCACCAGCTGCTCTGTGGCAGGAAGACTTGGTAGTTGGCTGCCATAAAAATTATAGCCTTTGAAACCCTCCCTGTAGGACAGTTCTTTTCTGTCCTATCGGGTCACTACAAGATGGAATTGACTACAACCATAATTATGGATTTGGAAAGGGGAGAAAAATAGAGATAGTTAACATTCACCCTTTCAGCTTATTTCACATGTTTCAAAGTCCATCATCTCAGGAAAACCCTTAGTCCCAGGCAGGGAGGTCAGCTAGTCACCTTCTCGAAGGAGTTTAAGCCCAGCACCATCTCTAACATTGCTCACTCAGGTTCAGTTTTGAGCTTGGGTCTAAAACTCATTTTTTCAAGGTGTACCTTTCTATTGTCAGGGAGAACATCCCGGCTCAGAGTCTAAGAGGAATGTCAGGGTTATGATCATGTCCACTGCCTCAGTCTCCTGGGTATACTCTCTGTTGGCTTCAATCTACCCCTCTCTAGAGAGCTTGATCTCTGTGGCATGGGCAAAAGGAGCTGCACACCAGTCTTAAAAATTGTGAAAGAGAATGTCCACATAAAGGATCAAACACAATTACGAGCGTGGATACCACGTCTGGTGTGAGCCCTGCTGCTGATGAAAAGAAAGTGCGTTCAGGGTCCTTGACTTAGTAATGAATCCTAGATAAGCAGCCCAGTAAGGGTGCTTGGCAACAGTAAAAACGCCTAGGTCTCCCACCCTCCTGGGATCTTGTATTTACAAAGTCTGGAGCAACCAACAAAACTGGCATTGGATTAGGTTGATTTAACCTCAAGCACAGAAGAATTTTACAATTAACACCCTTGGTAAGAGCAGTCAGGAAATCAGGAGAAACAGTGCGCTGGGCAAGTCTGCAGTTAGGGACCTCTCCAAATTATTGAGGAGTAATGATGTCAGTTTGAGGACTAAGGAGCGTCTGATTCAGGCCATGATCTTTCCGATCACTAGCTATATATCTGAGAGCTGGACAATGAATAAGGATGAGAAAAGAATTGATGCCTTTGAGCTATAGTGTTGGAGAAGAGCACTTGAACATCCCACGGATGGCCAAGAGAGCAAACAGATACGTTTGTTCAATGTGCAGCCAGAGTGCTCCTTGGAGGCAAAGATGATGAAGCTTCACCTCACATACTTCAGGCGTGTTGCTAGGAGGGGTTATTCCTTGGAGAAGGACAAGATGCACAGAAGGGTGGAGGGTCTGCGAAGGAGAGGAAGATCCTCGACCAGGCAGATAGGCATGGTGGTTACCACAGTGGACTCCCATGTGTCAGGAAGTGTGAGAATGCCACAGGGTGGGACAGAGTTCAGATCTGTTGTTTATAGGGTCACTATGCGTCACACTCTCCTCTACGGCACCTAACAACAACAGGGGAAAAAAACAGACAGTCTGAAAAACCTTTCATTGTTTCCTAAATATTTAATTATTAGGTATTTCCCTTAGTTTCTTCTTTGATTTTGATGAATGATTCAATCAGGGAGAGCTAGCCTATGGTTCTTTGACCTGGAGAATTCTATCTTCAAAGGAAGCCATCTTTCATTGGGGCAAAGTCCACGCACTATTTGGTTTTTACGACTTTTACTCATGCTGTCAAATGGGAATCAACTCATAGCTGACCCTCCAGGGAGTTTCTGATGCTGTAAATTGCATGGGAGGAGATTTCCCAACTTTCTCCCTCAGACTTTTGTTTGAATTCAAACCACCAGAGAGGTGTGGTCTTTGGGTTAGTGGTGAGACTATCAAAGTATTACTCTTCTCACAAGTCATCGAGGCAGGGACTTTACAGCAAGGGTCCCAGTGAGCCAAGCGGAAAAGGATAGAGCACTGTGTCTTGGGCAGGGACCTTCCCTGGTGTGAGTTGATAGTCTCTTCAAAGTCTTTTATTATGTCGTTTTTCTTCATGGTGTCTTTGTGACCCTACAGGACAGCATTTATGATGAGATGGAGGACAAATGGTCAAAGCGGAAAGCAGAATGGGAGAAGGATGAGAAGATGGAGCGAGAAAGGATTCTGCTGCAGCAAAGTAAATCGAATAACCTCTAACTTTTACTGATAGATGCATCAAAACCTGCCATTTTGCTTGACCTTAACTCGAGGGGTTAAGGCTCAGGGTTTACTGAGGCTGAGCTCTCAGATGGAAAGTGTCAGGAGTTTTCAAGAAAGCAAGGATCCCAAGCAAGGTGGAGTCTGTTACAGAGTTGAGCCAACTGAGGGTCTCAGTTGACACCTTCTCAGACTCACTGGTTTTGAGTTTTTCTTCATGAGCAGAAACAAATGTGGAGACTTCAATAGTATTGGAGGCTTGCTGTCTGGATATAGTTGTTGCTATGTGCCATTGAGTCAAAACTGACTTATAGCTGGCATTTCAGTGACTTTTCAGAGACTATAAATCACATCAGAGGAGATTGTCTATCTTTCTCCTGCAGGCCAGCTGGTGAATCTCAACCACAAGACTTTCAGTTGGCAGTGCAACTCCTTACCACTAGTCCACTGAGTTTCTGAATTTGAGTGTTAAGTATTGATGTGAGGTAACACAGTTTGGATAAATATTTTCATAATATCGCGCTGGAGACTAAGGTGCACCTGTTCCAGGCCATAGCCTTCCCAGTTGTGTGCTATGTGTCAGAAAGCTGCACAATGACTAGGGATGATAGAAAGAGAATTGATGGCTTTGAGCTGTGGTGCTGGAGAAGAGTTTTGAATATGCCATGGACTGCCAGGAGAACAAACAGGTTTGCCCTGAAGAGGGTGAAACTGTGTTGCTCCTTAGCGGGAAGGATTCTGAAGCTTCATCTGACATACTCTGTGCATGTTGCAAGGAAGGACCAGTCCTTGGAGAAGGATGACATGCTTGAAGAGGTGGAGGGACAGAGAAAGAGAGGGAGACCCTCGATGAGATGGATCAATTCAGTGATTGGGGTAATTGGAATAGGTGTGTCAGAGACAATAAGGTTGGCACAGGATAGAGCAGTGTTGAGGGCTCTTGTATATAGGGTTGCTACACCTCTCAAGCCACTTAATGACACATAACAACAAACAACAACATTATGTTTAACATGGAGTTTGAATCAAAGTACTTTCCGGTGTACTTCCCACCCCACTGAGGATATTCGACGGCTTAGCCTAGGAAACTTGTTGAGATAGGAATAGATATTTTTTTATCCACACATCTATTCTATGTCCTATCACAGTCCTGTTCTTGTTAAAAATTTAGTGGGCTTTAACCAATTACCCTTTGAAATGTAGATTTTTGTTGTTAGGTCCCGTCACGTTGAGTATGACTCATAGTGACCCTGAGAGTAACAGATCTGAATTCGTTCCTGCTCTGTGCCATCCTCAAAATCTCTTGAGCCCATTGCTTCAGTCACTGTGTCAATCTACCTGGTTGTGAGTCTTTCTTTCTTTCTCCATGCCTCCACCTTCCCAAGAATGATGTTTTTCTCCAAGGAACAGCCTTTCCTGACCTACATGCCCACAGTATGTGAGATGAAGCTTTAGCATCTTTGCCTCCAAAGAGCACTCTGGCTGCACATTCTCCGAGACATATCCATTTGTTCTTTTCTCAGTCCATGGCATAGTCAGTATTCCACTCCAAGACTAGAGCTTAAAGTTATCAATTCTTCTTCTGTCATCCTTATTTACTGTCCAGCTCTCAGATGCATAACAAGTAGTTGAAAAGACCATGACCTGAATAAGGTATTACCCCAGCCACCGAATCAATCCATCTCATAGAGGGTCTTCCCCTCCTGCGCTGTCCCTCCACCCTCCCAAGCATGATGTCCTTCTCCAAGGACCCGTCCCTCCTGGCAACATGTCCAAAGTATGTCAGACGAAGCCCCAGAATCCTTGCCTCCAAGGAGTAGCTTGGTTTAATCCTCTCCAAGATGAATCTGTTTGTTTGTTTTCCTGGCAGTCCATGGTACATTCAGTACTCTTCTCCAGCACCACAGCTCAAAGGCATCAACTCTCCTTCTGCCCTCTCTAGTCATTGTCCAACTCTCTGATGCATAACAAGCGATTGCAAATACCATGGCCTGTATCAGGCGCACCTTAGTCACCAGAGAGACACCGTTGCTCTTGAGTACTTTGGAGAGGTCCCTAACAGCAGACTTTCCCATCACGATACGCTTTTTTATTTCCTGGCTGCTGCTGCCAAGAGTGTTGACTGTGGAGCCGAGCAAACTGAAGCTGTGAACAATCTCAATCTCTTCGCCATCCATCCTGATGCTGCCAATTGGTCCAGTGGTGAGAATCTTTGTCTTCTTGACATTGAGCCTCAGTCCATACTGAAGGCTGCAGTCCTTGACCCTTAGCAGCAAGTGCGTGAGGTCCTCCTCAGTTTCAGCAAGCAGGGTTGTGTCATCTGCATAACGCAGATTGTTAATAGATCTTCCACCAATCCTGATGCCACAATTCTCCTCATAGAGCCCAGCCTCTCGAATAATCTGCTCTGCATACATGTTGAAAAGGTATGGAGACAGGATGCATCCCTGGCGTACACCCTTCCCAATTTTGAACCATGCAGTGTTACCCTGCTCTGTTCTGACTACTGCCTCTTGGTCCAAGTATAGGTTTCACATTAGCACAATTAATGGCACTGCTCCTCAATAATTTGGAGAGTTCTCTGTGAACGTCCCAGTGTATTATGTCTCTTAATCTCCTGACTGCTGGTACCAAGTATATTGACTATGAATCCAAGTAAATCATCAAGGCCATTTACCCTAGAGGGGACACTGGAGTGTCAGAAGGTAACACGAAGACTCCAATGCAAAGGTGGGGAATGGAATGTGCAAGTTTCTTCTGTCTCACGGTTCCCCTGTGATCCTGGTGAAACATATCCAGGTTCTCTCTCCCACTCCAATTACTTGGATGTTAACCCATCACATGTTGTCAAAGTCCTAGTTGAGATGCTACCACTAGGTTTTTACAGAATTTATTTTGTTGTTGTTGTTGTGTGCTGTTGAGTTGACTACAACTCATAGTGACCCTAAGTACAATGACTCTACCCCCTGCCCTATCCTGAGCCAACTTCACCATCTCCAACACAAGACACTGTGTCAATCCATCTCATCTCACCCAAGATATACCTCGCTTGTGCTGGCCTTCTGCTCTTCCAAGCATAATGCCCTTCTCTGACTGGCCCATCCTAACAACATGCCCAAAGTATGTGTGACAAAGTTTCAAAAATCCTTGTATCTAAGGAGCCACTGGGTTTCACCCTTTGTAGAACAGACATGTTTGTTTTCTTGGCAGTCCATGGTATGTGTGTTCAGTACTCTTCAGCACAACTACTCAAAGGCATTGATTATTCTTCTGTTATCTTTTGTCATTGTTCATCTCTAATTTGTATAGCAAACAATTGAGAAGACCATTTACTTTATCTGCTCATAAGTCTCAGCACAGACTCACCCCAGATCATTCTCAGAACCATGACCCAGAAGAAGAAATTCATGTTTGCCCCTGTGCTCCTTATTCTTGATTAGTTCTTGGCCTCTGCTGACAGGATCTCTGTTTGGAAAAGCAATTTAATTCCACTGCTAAGTACCAAATCCATTTTATTGCTAAAAAGTTTATATTAACCAAGGGTTTTGTTTTTATGCTCTCCGAAGAGCAAAATGGGTACTTTAGCAGTGGGAATGGACAAAATAATAAGCAGCAGATCTAAAGTAACCTACACAAAAATGAAGAAGAGATGTTTGAGCCAAATCCTTATGGCAGCATGGGATGACAAAGCAAAATATTACAATGAAATGTGCGAGGAGCTAGAGTTGGAAAATCAAAAGGGCTGAACTTGCTCAGCATTTCTTAAGCTCAAGAAACTGAAGAACAAATTCAAACCTCGAGTTGCTATAATCAAGGATGTGTTAGACAGAATATTAAATGATCCAGGAAGTAGTAAAAGAAGATGGAAAGAATATACTGAGTCACTGTATCAAAAGGAATTGACAGACACAGAAGAATTTAATGAAATTACATATGAGCAAGAGCCTATGGTGATGAAGGAAGAAGTCAAGTTGTTCTGAAGGAAATGGCAAAAAATAAGGCCTCAGGAATAGATGGTATACCAATTGATGTATTTCAGCTAACAGATGCTACCCTGGAGTGCTCACCAAGTTGTGCCAAGAAATCTGAAGAACAACCACTTGGCCAACTGACTGGAAGAGATCTATATTTGTTCCCATTCCAAAGAAGGGTGACCCAAAAGAGTGTGGAAACTACAGAACAATATCATCGATTTCACATGCAAGCAAGATTTTACTGAAGATTATCCAAAAACTACTGGAACAGCACAACAGCAGAGAACTTCCAGAAGTCCAGGCTGGGATTAGAAGGGGTTGTGATACTAGGGATATTGTAGCTGATGTTAGATGGGTCTTAGCTGAAAGCAGGGAGTACCAGAGGAATTTCTCTCTGTGTTTCATTGATAATGGAAAGGCGTTTGACTGTGTTGATCATAACAAACTGTGGCTGACTCTGAGAAGGGGAATGCTAGAACACTTGATCATTCTAATGTGAAACCTATACTTGGACCAAGAGGCAGTCATCAGACCAGAACAGGGAAACATTGCATGGTTCAAAATTGGGAAAGGTGTACGCCAGGGACCTTTTCAACCTGTATGCAGAGCAGATTATTCGAGAGGCTGGGCTCTATGAGAAGTATGGCATCAGTATTGGTGGAAGATTCATCAACAATCTGCATTATGCAGATTACACAACCCTGCTTGCTGAAACTGAGCAGGACCTGAAATGCTTGCTGCAGAGAGTCAAGGACTGCAGCCTTCAGTATGGATTGAGGCTCAATGTCAAGAAGACAAAGATTCTCACCACTGGACCAATTGGCAGCATCAGGATGGATGGTGAAGAGATTGAGATTGTTAACAACTTTAGTCTGCTTGGCTCCATGGTCAACTTTCTTGGTACCAGTAGCCAGGAAATCAAAAAACATATTTCGATGGGAAAGTCTGGTGTTAGGGACCTCTCCAGGGTACTGAAGAGCAATGGTGACACTCTGGAGAGTAAGGCATGTCTGATACAGACTATAGTCTTTGCAATCTCTTGTTATGCATCAGAGAGTTGGACAATGACTAGGGAGGATAGAAGTAGAATTGATGTCTTTGAACTGTGGTGCTGGAGAAGAGTGTTGAATGTATCCTGGACTGCCAAGAAAACAAACAGATTCATCCTAGAGAGGGTTAAACCAGTCTGCTCCTTGGAGGCAAGGATTCTGGGGCTTCATCTGACATACTTTGGACTTGTAAGGAGGGAGAGGTCCTTGGAGAGGGACATCATGCTTGGGAGGGTGGAGGGATGGGTTAGGAGGGGAAGATACTCTAAGAGACAGATTGATTCAGTGACTGGGGTAATTGGGATGGGTGTATTAGAGGCAGTGCGATTGGCACAGGATAGAGCAGGGTTTAGGGCTGTTGTACATAGGGTCGCTATGAGTCACAAGCAACTCAATGGCACATAACAACAACAATGTGATTAGGTACAGCCACCACGGCAATGCTATTATTAAGCATCTTAAGCACATCGGGCTGAAAGAAGCTTAAATTTGGCCTTGTCTGCAATTCTTTTCACATAGTCCGAGTTTCCTTATGTATCTGCTTTTCCCCACATATGCATATATGCACTTTCTTCTTGACTCTACAGAGACTAAGATGAGAAGACAGTTTGAGTTCGAGTCGGAAGAAGAAAAGAAGAAAATAAATGAATCCTGCAAAGCTATGTTGGAGAACTTCAATCGAGAGAAGGAGGTAACTAATAGATAGTCATGTAAGTTCATCAGAGTCTCCAGGTGTGGCTCTGTTAGGAGACAATAGTATTGTCTTTATCGGGGCCTTCAGTTTCTCCCGGCTTTCCTGATTGACAATTATGCTGTCCTTTAGCTAGATAGCCTTCCAGGGTTATTGGAGTGAAAGTGGTAATGGATAGAAAACAGTGGAATATGAAGCATATGCCAGTAAAACTAGTCACCATAGAGTCAATTCCAGTTCATGGGGACCCCACAAGTGTCAGTGGAAATAGGATTTTCAGTGGCTGCTTTTTCAGATGTAGGTAACCAGATCTTCCTTCTTAAAAAAATCTCTGGGTGGGCTCCAACCTCTAAGCTTAGCCACTAAACACGTTAATGGCTTATACCACCTGGGAAGTCATCCCAGCGGCATCGGCAGCTCTGTGGTGGGATTCTTGTCTTTCATGCAGGACTAGTGGCCCTTGTTGACATTTCCCCGGAACTTCTATACCGATAAAGCCTTATAATAAAAGTAGGTCTCAGACAAAATTGTACCCCACATTTGCCATCTATATGAATATTTTTATATTTATGAATAATTGTGCTAATGTGAAATGTGAACCTAGCCTAAGAGACTGTTGTGTGACCAGAAGAAGGGAACACTCAATGATTTAAAATTAAGAAAGTGTTGCACCCATTCTTTAAACTATATGCTGAGCCATACCTATTCAGTTTGTATGCTGAGCAAATCTTTCGAGAAGCTTGACTCTGTGAAGAAGGATGTGGAATCAGGATCAGAAGAAGATGCATCAACGACTTGTCTTAATACATATGACTCAATCTTTCTTCCTGAAGAGAGATCTAAGATCTTGCTGCAGAAGATCTAAGACTACAGCTTTCAATATGGATTGCATCTTAACATCAAAAAAGACAAAAATCCGGAAGCAACGGCTTGCTCCAACCCGGCAAAATGGAGTTCGAGGCCCTGAGCAGATACATCAGCCCGGTGAACCTGGCTGTCTTCCTCCATCTGACCGGGGTGCTGTTGGCCATTGGCATGTTCTTCACCGCCTGGTTCTTCGTTTACGAGGTAACCTCTGCCAAGTGCACACGGGACATCTACAAAGAGCTGCTCATCTCCTTGGTGGCCTCGCTCTTCATGGGCTTTGGGGTCCTCTTCCTGCTGCTCTGGGTAGGCCTCTATGTATGACTGCCGAGGGTATGCATATGACAGCTTCACTGAATCCCTGCTTTTGTAAATTAGTATTTTTGACTTTTTTTTTAATTAACTAGTGCTGGAAGCGTCCCACCTTCTGCCCCACAATAAAGACAGGTGTGTGAGGCTACTGGACCAACAGGCAGGCAACATCATGATAGATGAAAAAAAGACTGAGATTAGCTTGGATCCCCAATCAACACCCTTGATACCAGTAGTCAGGAGATCAGGAGATGTATTGCATTGAGAAAGTCTGCAGTCAGGGACCTCTCCAAATTACTGAGGAGCAATAATGTCAGCTTGAGGACTAAGGTGAGCCTGATTTGAGCCATGGTCTTTTCAATTGCTTGCTGTGCATCTGAAAGCTAGACAGCGAATAAAGGTGACAGAAGGAGAATTGATACCTTTAACCTCTGGTATTGGAGTAGAGTGCTGACTATCTCATGGACTGCCAAAAGAACAAACAAATGTCTCTTAGAGAAAATACAGCCAGAGCGCCTCTTGGTGGCAGAGAGGACAAAGCTTCATCTCACATAATTTGGGCATGTTGTTAGGAGAGGCTGTTCCTTGGGAAAGACATGCTTTGAAACGTGGAAGGTCAGCAAAAGTGAGGAAGAAACTAAACCAGATGGTTTGACACAGTGATGGCAGCAATGGGCTCAAGTGTGTCAGAGATGATGAAGATGGCACAGGACAGGACAGGTTCAGATCTGTTGTTCACAGGGCCACTAGGAGTCATACTTGGCTTGACAGCACTCAACAACAACATATAAATACTAATAACAAAGCAAGTATGGAAAAACAGGTCCGAAGCAGTTCATATGGCTAGTTCACTGATGTTTTAGTTGCATAAGAGTTCACTGAATGGTATTACAATGGTATTACAGAGGCAAGATTCTGGAAGTGTCATTGTCAGCCTCAGGCAATGCAGAGCACTGCCTAAACAATTGCTGACCTGTATAAATTATATATTTGTTTCAGAAGTTCATGAAGCAACATGAAAATGACATCTTGCAAATAGAATCACTGAAAAAGACCAAAGAGGTAAGCTTTTCCATTTTTCCTATGGAATTGACATATCAGTAAAAGGACATATTCTTGGTAAACTGGAATCTGTGATAATACCAAAACAACTAAAAATGGACAACATGAAGCTGAGTTTTCTGACTATAATGCATCAAAAAGGATTTTTAAATGTAAAATAAAACTATGAGAATCTATTTAGAGACAGATCTGGAAAAAAAATAGAATTACAGTATGTGCTTTTCAATGTCTAACACTTTGCATTTCTAGTAAAACCCTTATTTTCAAAAAAGATCTTAAACTGTACAATGCCAAGTTCTGAGCTCTGAAAAGTTTCGTATTTCTCCCTATGTAACTCCGGTCTCCAAACTTCTCCTTGAAACTTTGTGTCTCAAAATTAACAGCTTCCTTAAAGGAATCTGTTCTGAGACAAGTTATGGTACTTCCATGAGAACGATAATTGAAAGGAAGCTTCAAAACCTCACCAACTGCCTGTGGTTCTTTCTTAGAATTATGGTTCTTTCTTGTTGTTATTTGCCGTTGAGTCTCCTGAACCCATAGTGACCCTGTGTAGAGCAGCTCTGAAGCCTGCCATGTTCTGAGCCAGTCTCAATAATTCCAACACACCAACCTCCATTGCCCCAGTTATTATATCAATCCATCTCATCCAGGGGCTTCTTCCCCTGAGCTGTACCACCACCCTTCTGAACATGATGTCTTTCACCACATGATGTCCTGGCCACATGCCCACAGTATGTAAGACCAAGCTTCAAAATCTTCGCTTCCAAGGAGAAATGTATCTTCACCTTCTCCAAGACAGACAAATTTGTTTTCTTGGCAGTCCATGGTGTGTTCAAGACTCTTCTCCAGCACCACATCTCAAAGGCATCGATTCTTCTTCTGTCATCCTTGGCCATTGTCCAGCTCTCTGATGCATAGCAAGTAATTGCAAAGACCATGGACTGGATTAGTCACAACTTAGTGAAAATCTCCTGTCAGGGACTTCTACAGAATATTGAAATGCAATTATGTCAGAAAATCATTTCTTTTTCACCATCTCCCTCTCTAAAATGTATGCTCCACAAAGGCAGGAGTTACATCTGTGTGGTTCTTCACACTATTTCAGGTCCTAGGGCAATGAGTGTTGTTGTGGTTATTGTTGCTAGGCGCCGGCGAGTTGAGTATGACTCATGGTGACCCTTTGAACAATAGTAATCATTTCATCTCTAACATACGTGAGCCCATTATCACAGTCATTGTGTTACTCCATCTCCTCGAGTGTTGTCCTGTCTTTTGCTGATCCTCCACCTTTCCAAGTATGCTGTCCCTTTCCAAGGAATAGCTCCTCCTACCAACATGCCCAAAGTATGTGTGATGAAGCTTTGCCATCCTTGCCTCAAGGAGCACTCTGGTTGCACTCTCTCCAAGATCTATATGTTTGTTCTCTTGTCAGTCCATGGTATATGCAGTATTCTTCTCCAAAAACACAACTCAAAGACACTGAGTCTTTTTATTTGGGCGCACTTGATACAGGCCATGGTCTTTTCAGTCACTTGCTATACATCTGGGAGCTGGATAATGAATAAGGTGGCCTGGAGTAGAGAATAAATAGATGGACATTGTCTTGATGTCCTGAACAATGTCTTCTTCCACAGAGCATAGATAAAGAATTGGAGGCACAAACTGCTATCCTAGAGTCACTTAATACAGCCCTCTACCAAACCCAGCAAGAGCTGCAGAGAGAGGTGAGTCCTGGCCTGAGTGGGACGTGGGGTTGGATGGAGAGAACCCAGATGCCTGCACAGTTCTGTCATATAGCCACAGCCTAGGTGACTGGACTTTGGGAAATATAGTTCTTAAAATGTATTTGTCTTTCAGAAAATGGCAGCAATGAATCTGGAAAAAACATTCCTGGCCAAATTTGCTGAAGCTGAAGAAAAATATAACTACACCATCCATAACCTTACACAAGAAAATATGCAACTAAGGTATGAATCCTGCTACTCGAAGAGATGCAGCTGGGTTACCTTGAGAAAGTAGGAGAGAGTTTGGATGATGTAATAGGTGATGAGCATGAGCCTAGAGATGTCATGGCAGACACTTTGAGGTGGCAAATGGGCCATTCTGCACCTGGCTGTAGAAGTTGGCTGGACTAAGACCAGTTAACCTAGACACCTCCCTGGAGTAGACCAGCGATGTGGCTGGATTGCTGGCCCTTGCCTTTGCCTTTGTTTTTATATGTAAAACAACATATGCATCTCTAAGTTCCTAGTTCACTTCATTCTATGACTGATGTTGTTGTTGTGTGCCGCCGAGTCGCTTGTGACTCATAGCGACCCTATGTATAACAGCCCTAAACTCTGCTCTGTCCTGTGCCAATCGCACTGTCTCTGACACTCTCATCCCGATTATCCCAGTCACTGAATCAATCCACCTCATAGAGGG